GTTGCCGGACACGAAAAAAGACAAAAAGGAAAAAAAAAAATACCGATTTATACTTACACAGCAAATACCCTTCGGAAAAAAATACTCTTGTACAACAGTGTTGTCATCTACATCTGTTCATTGCTTTTGCCCATTTCTCTATTGGGTTTTTGATCTTTTACTTACCAATTCATAGGAGTTCTTTCTATTTTAAGGGTATCAACCCTTCGAGATATAAATTTGTCTTTTGACTTTGCTTATAGTGTTATTTTTGGTTTTTTGCCTTACAATAGTTTTTGATTTGATGCTACTGGATCTATCTGTTTTTAAATTCTCCACTCCAAAATAAAACAAAACAAAAACAATAAAACCCACCTCTAATGGTTTCTTCTAGTATTTTTTATAGTTTTTTTTTTAATTTAAATAATTGATCCATCTAGTTTTGCTTTTGTTTTGTTTTTTTTTTGGTAAAAGGTATGAGATAGAAATACAACTTAATTTTTCTCCAGATAGCTACCTGGTAGTCCCAATACTATTTATTGAATATTCCAACGTTTCCCCACTTATTTCAAATGTCACTTTTATCATATACTAATTTCCTATCAGTATTTAGGTCTATATGTAGACTTTTTTATTTTATAATTTTAACTGAAATGTTGGATTATTATTTAATAAGGGATTGTTTTCCTGCCCTGTTAAACTTATAAATCATTTTTGTTTCTTTTGTTCTTCAAGTCACTTAATCACAAGTATAAATATTTTCCCTTGGGCCGAGCCCGTGGCGCACTCGGGAGAGTGCGGCGCTGGGAGCCCAGCAGCGCTCCCTCCACGGGTTCAGATCCTATATAGGGATGGCTGGTACGCTCACTGGCTGAGCGTGGTGCAACCGGTCCCAAAAAGGACAAAAAAATTAAATAAATAAAAATAAATATTTTCCCTTCAATATAGAAAAGGCGACTCACTACAGGAGATACCAGTCTCGATCTCATTCCAGCAGTACTTTTGGTACAGGTCTGGGAGATGACAAGTCAGAAATCTCTGAGATTTACCCTAGCTTTTCCTGCTGCAATGAGGTAACATGACCATCTGATGAAGGAGGTATCAAACATTGACCACCTCACACCCTTAGGATGGTTAATTTGAAGAACAGCCAGAGGGCTGGCCAGTAAGTTCAGTTGGTTGGAGTGTGGTGCTGATAACACCAAGGTCCAGGGTTCAATCCCTGTATTGGCCACATTTTCTGAGCCTGGAAAGTCCAGAGTCCATCTGGTGGTGGCAACAGTGACCCAGGGGTCTCACATTGCAAGATGGTGGAAGCAGAGAGAGGATATATGTAGACTTTCTATTATGCTCTATTTAACAGTCTATTTATTCATGTGCTAATTCCATGCATTAAATTACTACAGTTTTATTACCTAGTAAGGCTAATTTTCCTTCTTTATTCTCCTTTTTCAAAATTTTTCTGGCTATTCTTATTTTTCACATGAATTTAGGATCAGCTTGTCCAGTTCAAAAATAAAAGGCAGAACACCACAAATACTTGGTAAGCACTTTTTTCTGAGATTATACTAAATTTATAGGTTAATATAGGATGAACTGACACTTTTATGGTGCTAAGTCTTTATACTCAAGAACGTGGTTTATTTTTCTTTTATATCCTTCATAGCATTTTAAAATTCTCTTCATTGAGATTCTAGGAATTTTATGCTTTTTTTTTTTTTTTTAAAAAGATGACCGGTAAGGGGATCTTAACCCTTCGCTTGGTGTTGTCAGCACCATGCTCACCCAGTGAGCAAATTGGCCATCCCTATATAGGATCCGAACCGATGGCCTTGGTGTTATCAGCACCACACTCTCCTGAGTGAGTCACGGGCCAGCCCTGGGAATTTTATGCTTTTATTGATGTTTTGTGCTTTGGACTGCCAACTTCCTGGGGAGACAGAAATGTTCTATACATTGTATTATAAACGGGTCCTCTTCTTTTATTAAATATTGTAAATAGCTACTGTGTTTTTGTTGATGTGTTTTAGTAAGAATATATTATTTTCAAAACAAAAAAGGTCATGCTATAACCTATAAATTCAAATTGATTTAGTATTTAGAATAAATTAATCAGTCAAGAGCTCGGATCAGGCTGGCTGGCTAGTAGCACAGTTGGTTAGAGCGCAGCTTTGTGATACTGAGGTCAAGGGTTCAGTTCTGTGTACCAGCCAGCGCCAAAAAATAAGTAAATAAAATAACATAAAAATAAAGCTCATATACCATTAAAAAAAAAGTTCAGATGCCATATCAGCCAGTCACTGCCTCCCCCCCAGAAAAGAATTAATCAGACTGTCACATACTTAATAGAAAAATGATAACAGAAAAGATGAAATCTTGGGTTTAGAGTTCCATTAACCACTAAGAAAATACTTAGTAAGAACAGAAAGTAAAGTAACTGGATAAAGAAAGTCAAGGGAAGAGATCCACAATTAAGTACCAATAATTAAAGTCATCAATGTTTTCATCTATATGAGTTGTTTAAACTTTTCTGAAGAATGATTTAAGTTAATAAATAAATAAATAGGGCTGGCCAGTTAGCTCAGCTCATTAGAGCACAACCTTATAATACCGAGGTCACGGGTTCAGATCCCTATACCAGCCAGCCACAAAAAAGAAAAAAAAAATCATGAATAAATAATTGAATTTGGAGCTCTACGAACAAGGGTATAGAATTCTCCTGAGAATTATAAGAGAGCACAAATAACCACATACCATGAGGTTTCCATGTGTCTCCCATGTTGGTGCTTCAGTTTTACAAAGCTCTTCAAACTGCTGTCTATATTTTGAAACTAATTCCTTCTCCAATTTATCAACACAGTCTGCATATTCAACCTTAAAGAAAAATTAAAACAGAATAACTTATATCTAGAATAAAAGGCAAATACTCAAATGAATATGAATAATTTAAAATTATCAAAACGGGTTGAATGATACAGGGTAAAGAGAACCAAGAGGACTAAATGGACTTACCCTATAGGGATGTCTTTCATCTTGGAAATAAGTGAGAAGGTGTAAGACACAACGAAGAATACAGGTTCTTTCTTCATAGTAATAATCTGCAATCTGGGAAGAACCCAAAGATTCAAAATCAGTTACTCACCTTTGCACAGAAGACTCATTTTTTTTTTTTTTTTTCACAACTGGCCAATACAGAGATCAAACCCTGGACCTTGGTGTCCAGCCAAGATATTCACTTTTAAATTTACTGATATCAGGCCAGCCCATGGCTCACTCAGTAGAGTGCGGTGCTGATAACACCAAGGCCACGGGTTCGGATCCCATATAGGGATGGCCGGTTCGCTCACTGGGTGAGTGTGGTGTTGACAACACCAAGCCAAGGGTTGAGATCCCCTTACCGGTCATCTTTAAAAAATAATAATTATTGGGGCCGGCCTGGTGGCGCACTGCTACAGTGCGCTGCTTGGGAAGCGCGGCAGCGCTCCCGCCG